AGAAAAGAGACAAGGAAGAAATGTAAGGCAGGAACTCGATTGAGAGGCATCATTCCATCAACCTGAAAGTGAAAACTCTGCTCTATTGTGCAGTACTGTTCAAAATGGGAACACACACTATACTACATTATGGAGGCACAGAGATAGCAAGATGTTAATCTGTTTCAAGGAAAATCCAATTCCAAATGTTTAAATGTTTTCAAATGTTAGGTTAGGAACTCCTTTTAGTAAAAATCCATCTAAATATAAACCCAAGTCTCCGTTTTTTGCTGTGGATATAAACATAGAATCCAAAATGTATCATTCATGAGATACTATTAGTCATGTTAAAGGTGTTTAAAATTGATCAACTATGGCAAAGACGCCTATGCCTAATAATGAAAGAATAGGTATTATGCAACTTCATAGCTGTAGGCAAAGCTGTTATGACATTCTAGATTTTCCAGACAAGGACTGCACAAAAACAAAATATCCAAAATATGCGGGGCGGTATGTGATTGGTCAGGACTATGTGCCCATGATCAGAATATTGTCAGTTCAAGTCCCAGATCCCAGGACTTGCAGAGTGATTTCACTGCTGGGCCATTCAACAAGACCCTAACCCCAATTACTCCAGATAGCAGTTAACCCTGATTTAAAAAAAATAAAATAAAATAAAAGCATCTGCTAGATGAATGCAAATGCAAGACTGGCTCACAAAGTACCTAGTACCCCTATATTCCTATACCCCTATAGCCTCTAAACCTGTACAGAAATGTAAGAGCCTATTGGACAAATTTCCCCAACTGAAGACATTTTTGCTCTTTAAAAAAAAAAAGCTTGGAAGTGCCAAAGCAGTTCATTCATTCTCATAGTCTATCAAACTGCAGCTCCGCGTGACGCATCGACACCCAGATTTAAATCAACCACACCCCACAGAACAATGAAGGAAGAACAATAACAGACTCCATGACAGGCCAAAGGGCTTCTCACATAAGTATAAAAACCTCCCTTCCAGAAAAAAGTAACACAGACCCAAACCTGGAAAACCATTCCTTCCATAATTATACACGGCTACAAACAAACGTAATGATGGGAGTTTGAATTACATAGCAGCTAGCAGGGAAAAAAAAACTTCCAGAAGTGAAATCAAATCCAGAAAGCTGCCAGCATCCCCAGCCTATGAAGAACAATCCGATTTATATAAGTAAAACTAGCCCATTTACACTGGTGTGCCATGACTCTGCAGCATTGACCAACACCTTCAGTCAAGGTTTAATTAAAGGGAAGCTCACACACACATCTACGGTTTCTGTTTCACTCGCCACCCAGTGACATAACCTTTTTTTAATTCCCTCCGTGAGGTACATGTGTTGGGGAATTTTCTTGCTTACACATGTTCCTATTTTGATCCGGTTCTTTTTGGGAACAAAGGTGGACTACAGGACAACTTCCCCTAATGGACAGCAGTTAGGGTTAATAGTAGAATTAAGTTTAAAATAACATGCATGATACACCAACTATGACAGTTTATACATAAATTAAATACTCAAAAATCGATTCTTTAACAACATTATTCTATCTATACCATGATAATTTCTCTGACATGAACATAAGTAAAATACCTAATTTTAACTACTTTTGTACTGTGAAACCAGAAATAAATGTCTATGCTTCAAATGGGAGTAAAGTAGATACAAATGGATAATTAGATGCCAGAAAGACAAAATGCAGACAATCAGGTTGTGCTGAATTATATTTGGAATAAAAAATGTGATTACACAGCTGCAGTCGAACCCAGCAAATCCATAAAGTCACTTAAGCTGCAAATGTTCCAAAACTCCACTGCCATGTGAAGCCATGTCACAAAAACATATTCAGGTATTAGAAATTCTCCTTACAGGCTAGACGCAAACTATAAAAAGTATTGTTATTTGTAACATAAAGCAATTCTCATGCCATAGAGTTTACCAAAACAAAAAATCTGTGTGACATGTTACACCAACAAAGTTGTGAGCGAGGGAGAACTGTCTTCACCTTACAAAATAGATATTAGCAGACTGAATTCCTGAAAACTAATCTACTAAAATTACAACTGAAAGTAATTTACACATTTGAAAAAAATGCAGTGTGTACTTGTTTCATTACTACATTTGACATTTGGAATTACCCTGTGTTACTGGTGCAGCCCATAGCTATTACATTGAACTTTTTACGCAATGCACCCCAATGACACACAAAAGTCTCAAATTAATCAGGTTAATATTCAGTCCCTGGGACAATTTAACTGGCGGCCAAGAGAGTATGTACCAAAATTCTAAGCCTTTGATCAACCCATTTTAACAAACAGCGTATCCAGCAGGGATGGTGGGAATCTAAAGTCTTTTGTGAAAAGCAGGACTAGAAAGACAGTTCATGAAAAAAAATCAAACACACACACACACACACAGACAAGGGCACACCTTTTGACGCTGGTCGCATGGTGACTGACTGGTTAGCTCTGGTGCTTCACACCCCCAAGCTCAGGGGTTTAAATCCCCCCATGAAACCGTTAGTACGGAGTTTGCACGTTTTCCCAACCCAAAGACATGCAGTTAGGCTAAAGGTGCCACTGAATTGTCCTGTGACAGATCTGCATCCTGTGCCCAGCCTCACAACCTCTACTCCCTGACATAAGCCCCAAGTTCCCCCTTGATACTGACTAGGATAAGTGAGTAGAAGGTGGATGGATAAACTTATACGTATAGTTTACTCTTTTGTCCTTGATTTTTTTGCACCAAGAGTATCTAGGACATTCACTTGAACGGTCCATGTTAATGCAAAAAAAAATAAAAAAAATCCTCAGTAATTGGGACACAGAGTGAGAATTACACTTCTGCCCCATACATACATAGGCACTACCAGATATCCTAAAAATAAACTGCACATTTAGCTTCATCTGTACTGATAATACTGCCTTACATGAAGTTGTGGCTTTAATTTGAGGCCAGTAGTTTGGACAATACCATACATTTTCCTCAATGACCAATTAACAAACTCTTTATACATATAGACGCACACAATACTTACAAAAACAGTTTTGGCATGAAAAAAAACATTACGTAGAAAATAATCATGTTTATGCTTTAACTTTCTCCAAAACAATACAGTTCTCTGACAAAATAAGTTTACAATTTGAAAGACTTTGGGGAGGGGAGGGGGGGGGGATAGAGAAAAAAAAAATGACTTAATCATGATGGGAAATGATTAATGCACGTACAGTGGTGAAGTTGTGACTGTGTTGGTTCCTACCACATCCCCATCAACTTCTCTGAATTTCCATTCATAGGAATTTACAATCCTGATGATCCAGACCAGAATAAGCGCTTGGAAGATAGATGGACGGTAATTTACAATTCAAAGAACACTATTTGAATGACGATATTTATGGGGGTTTCAGCAAAGTTATTTTTGGCCTTATTTGACTATGGATACTTGACACACTAATATCACTAACTGTTAAGACCTTTGTCATTGCTGTAAAATATGAAATCATACTTCCCATTATGGAATAACTACTAATCATCAAAATTCAGAGTTTCCAGTCTATCGACAGCATTGTTTAGACCATGAAGGCAAACGCTACCACTACATCAATGCCATTAAAGCGAGCAGGGGACAGCTGTGAACTTTAAATATGATTACAAAATGATCCTGTAAATCTTAATTAGACAAGATCAGTTAGAATCCATTTTAGCTTAGCTACATGCCAGCTGGTGACCGTAGCAGAATACTATTATGCAACATTTCACTTTCACCAGATAATACTTGTAGTATAGATGATATTCAGGTAAACCTGATATTTAATTTCTTTACACAAATTAGACGTTGTCCCATATCGGACCCTATTATTAAAGCTACATGCACATACATTTACCATACATACGGCAAAATAGTACTAAGGTTTGAATTATTACGTTTAAATAACCAAACAGACATAAGAACACAGGAAATTTACAAACGAGTGGAGGTCATTCGGCCCATCAAGCTCGTTTGGGGACCAACTAATAGCTCAGTTGTTAAAATCTTATCTAGTTCTGATTTAAAGGAACCCAAGGTTTTAGCTTGCACTACACCAGCAGGAAGACTAGTCTATACTATTCCATACTAAACAGGAAGATTATTCCATACTCATAATAAACACTATTCCATATACGCAATAATATTATTACAAAATCTAGATTAAGAGAACAAACCACAGTGACGAAAATATCTGACGTGTCGCTTTTTGTCTCAACAGCGCAAGATTCAGATATAACTCAGCTTTAAAACGGCCGGTTGATCCCACTACAGCTTCCACACATAGCCTACAACCGAAATAGACACAAACACCATCAACCACCACCATAAAACAAAAACGCCTCGGTGACAGACACCAACCTGACTCCTTAAGGTTTTGTTTTACGGAAGCCACTGCCATATTAGTTAAACTCGAACCGGCTTACAAACCAATTGATGCAGTTGTAATACTCAATTCGGTTGTACAGGCACACAAAACGAAAATGGAAACAGACAACAACACAGCACATTTTTCAGTCAGTTCAAGCACACACCAAGCCTAGCTAGCTAACGAGCTAAGGCTTTGCAAGCTAACATCACCCAGGCTAATGGCTGGCGTTTCTCAGCCCGCTAACGAAACGGTACACAGCTTTCATTTATAAAACACCGTCGTTAGCGAAGACGGCTCACGGAGGAGGGAAAAAAAAACCTGTACATGTTTAAAAGGATAAAGGCTGTGGCGTACTCACAGACAGACAGTCGAGCTCGGTTGTCCGGGAGATTGCGGAAGTGGCGCTCCGTGTTGTAACATGGGAAATTCCACCAATACATAAACACTTGTGGCTGACAGGCGAGCGAGCCAATGCAGGGCGCAGCGTCACCGTTATCGCTCTGCTTTCCCCCCCCCCCCCGCGCTCTTAAAGGGGACGGCGGCCTATTTTCGACGGCGCAGTGCGAACGCCGCTCGTGCCTTAAAGACGCGTGAGTGCTCCCTAGTAACGGAATGGTCCGTGATTATAATTCACGCTCCCTAAAACGCACGTTTTAAGTGGTGCATAAAAAAAAAAACTGTCTGCATGTATTTGCTGTCTGTTGGATTTGCACTACATTTCGCGAATCAGCCAGTGAGTTTACAGATCTCGAAAGCAAACTGCTTGGCATTAAAAAGGAACAAAGGACTCGCTACAGGCTGGGAGATACTAATGGTTATCAAGTACATATACTCGTGCTTTTTATGAACATCATGCACAGTAAAACAGAATTTTTTTTTTTTGGATTTAATCCGGATCGTGAAATGAGTATGCGGAAAACACTGGGAAAAAGATTCTGATTAAAATTATTATCAAGTTGTGCTTATTGTATGGATTATGCCATTGGACAGCATATATTGATAGATTTCGGCCTAACGCTTCGGTGTTTTGTTTATGACACGTCAGCTTTGTGAATTTCGTTTTATTAACATCATCGTATGAATACAGTTCTATGAATTTGTGTTAGGCATATGTCATTTTCGGTAATAGTATATGACGTAAGACAATCTGTTTTAGCGGTTGAAACAAATGTGTCTACTATGTTCTTGAGCATAATTGGAGTCAGAGTAAACAAATGCCTGTTCAGTTGTTCAACATCCGACTCAACTGAATAACGGGAATATTCAAAAATGCAAAATGTGATTTATTTTTTGTCATGCATTTTTGAAACATATCTATCAAAAACACATTTTGAAAAACAAAGAAATCAATATAATATGCAGTACAGTGTGAAAACAAGAGTTGTTTTTCACATGATATTTCCCAATACCAAGCGATCGTTTAGAGAGCCAGCCAATTCAATAGAATGACTAAGAGGAAATTGAGTGATGAAACTTGATAAGGACAATGAACTTTGTGGAACTGAAAATGACCGTTAGGCTATGCATGGGGAATCAGTGACAATGGTCAGATGGAAGCCTGTACTTAGACAAAAGCCGAATGCTGTGTGAGAACAACATCAATATCAGACAGTGGATTATTTTCTGATTTTAGAAGAGCAAGGATAATAGGAATTGGACATCCCTCAATCTCTACATTTTGGCTTTTTCTTTACATTCTTTGAGTTTATGTTTCAGGTATCTCGTGGTCCTTGGACAAGGCAAGAAATGTTCTGACAACATGCCTTCATCCAAAGCAAAAGGAGCGGACTGTATGGATTTTTAACCATCCGTTGCTCCATCTTTTGTAACTTTTTATTCAGTATAAACTATGTTAATCCCTTCCATTTAACAAGTTAATAATTTTAAGTTCTTTATTAAACGTAAATAATGATTACTTTGTGAATCTATGCATTGAGGCTATTGTCTGGCCATTATCATGGCCTAACAATATTGAAAAGTTTTTTATGATTTATTGGCAGTGTTCTGTGCATGTACTGTGATGTTTGTTTGCTGAATAATATAGTGGGCTGGTGTTTTCGTTTGACTAGAAGGAAATCGTCTTTGTAACACTGGCTTTGACAGCTACACAGAAGAAGGCTAGCAGTTTGATTTCAAGCTATATAGGAACACGATCGGTGTGGCGTATTACAACTGCACACATATATAAAGGCAAAATCATTTTGGAGTCAATTTCCTAGCACATCACTGAGTATTCTCCTAGACAAATAATTGTTTTTGATATTATCCTTGTTGCAGGAAGGCTTGTAGGTAGTGCCATTTTCCTTGGTATACTCAGTTTTTTCAAATCTTAATATAAGCTGTTTTTGACAAACCACATTATAATTTCCTCATTAACTGGTACTATAGCACTGAACCAGTATATTGACTGACCTCTACGCAACATCATTTAGAAATGTTAAATAAGAATAATTAATCAACATTGGATATTTATTGAGGAACCATGAGCTTGCTGTCAGAATACAGGCATTTCTCCCCAGTTTCCTTTCTCTCTTTTAAATTCACTTAATTTCTTAATCACCGTCTTCCCTGAAAACAGGCAGTGGGTAGGAGGCAGTACAGAGTATATCAAACATCATCCAGTGTTTCTAGGAAAACATTATGCTAAATATTTACATTTTAAAACAGAATATAATATAGAAGACAAGACAGATGTAATATTCACATATCTTTTTATGATATAAAATACATGGAGAACTGCACTTCCTGTATATTTTTTGCAAATTTGGATTACTAGCACCAAAATAATAAAGGTATTTCTTAAGTTCCACAAAATGAGCTTGGGGATCTCCTGCTTCTTATATCTACTTCCTGTTGTTACATAGAAACTGTCATACTTCCTCTATAAGTATTTATACTCTATGCCTGATCTGATTTTGCATCCAGTAATTGATCTTGGGAAAGAAGTATGTGACTGAGCACAATACAGAATTCAATAGAATAGGAATAGGATTAGGGATATATTAAATTGCTGTGGTATAGGTAGTGATGGCCATTTTATTTCAGAATTCTTATTCCTTTTATTTTTATATGTTATAATAAATTGTAGCCATGGGTGTTCCATTGTGTCATATGTACTCAAAAAATACATAAAAAAGCATCAAAAGAAGACATACTTATTCTCTTTGGTATGCAAGCTTTTGATTACTGTAAAAAAAAACTCTTTCTATCATTTTAAACATCTCCACAATACTGACATCTTGTGATACCAAAGCAAAATTATCATACATGCAATAACAAGTAATTATTCATGCACTCTATACTACTCTAACAATATTACCATAATGCTTAAAATAAGAAAAGCTTAGAGAGAATAAAATTTACATAAAGATTTAATAATTATACTTAATTTGTATTATACGACTAAAGTCAATAATTTCAGTTGTTTTTGTGATCATTTTCATAATCTTTATAGAAATTTACTTGATGGCAGAGAAAGTTTTTTGGCTTACTGGATATGCAATGAGTATTATGTTAGAAATTCAGTGCAATCCATGGACAATGAAATCAGCAGCCTTTAAGATTATAGCTTCGCATTCCTTTCCTTTTATGGCAATTACTCATTTTCAATAGCATATAAATATAGGTATATATGGTAAGTAGAATAATGGACAGGTGAAAAATAATGTCTTTAAGATTCTAGGTTAACATTTTTTTTCACAGCTCATCCAAATCTAAGTCTCAGTTCAAGAACAAAAGAGAGTAGAACGCTAGTTTTAAATGGAAAATGTCAGCCAGAATGGGCTACAAATCAGTCCTTTGATCAGACATTTTCTTTTTTTTTCATATATCAGCCCCTACAAGACATTTAATGGACACAACACAGAGGAAGGATTGCCATATATGAAACAGGTAGGGAGGACGTACAACACATCAAACAAGCCAAACAACGCTTTAGCAAGATTAAACAACCAAGAAAACATGCAAATTGAACCAAGTAGTATTAAATGCATAGAAATACAAGAATACTAACTCACCTATATATTATGTCCCTACACACAACGTATTTTATACAGAAAGGAAAGGGTTTGGGGGGAAGCTATTTAGCAATGCCTTTATACAGACTGGGGAATTCCCACGAAGAAAGCCTAGATATTTTCAGCCTGAGAAAAGGGGCTTGGTAGCAGGCCAGCAACTCTTCCTCGTTGAATATTGTCCGTAAAACTGAATCATACATTCTTGCATTTCTTCTGGGTGTTTCTTCATAATGTGTGATAAACAGTTTGCAGTAAGTTGAAAATGCGATGCTAACTGTTTGCATTGCTTATGCATTATCAAGAATGAATCATAAGTTTACTCTTTGGGTTTGTCTAATGTTTTTGATGGGTATATTACCTTTCCTAGCTAGTTACTTATTATAGTTGCAAGTGTAAATTGGTATGTATATATGCAAAACCTGTGCAGAAAACCTGTTAGAATACTTTCTGTTTTGTTTATGTTGTGCTTTTGGACAGGAAGCTGCAGATATGACAGACATTGAAGACGGGGCCTTGGATTGATGCACTGTAGGGGATTTCCTCACCCTGCTGCTTCTCTCTCTCTCTCTCTCTCTGTGTGTGTGTGTATGTGTGTGTTGACCAAATGTTCCCCACAACGTAATAAAAACCTGTTATTTTGACATTGTGGGGACCATTTTTCAGGTACCCACAAAGATCTGTGAATGCAATCAAAAAACTGAAAACGCCAAAAATCTTGTATTTTGTTTGGTTACTTATGGTTAAGGTTAGGATTGGGTAGGGGTTAAGGTCATCATATTGGGATCAGAGTTTTCCCCATAAAAATGAATGGAGAGTCCCCACAAAGATATAATTACAAACCTCCGTCTGTGTATGTGTGTGTGTGTTTAGGCTATTTACAATTCAAAATGGGCCTAAACCCAAACACAACAGCTCTGTTGCACACACAGATGAGACACAGGCATTCAGCCATATATTGTGACAAGGCCCTTGTCTGACCTTGCTGATAGGTGGGGAATGAAATGGAAGAAATGCAGCAAATTATGCAAACCAGCAGGAAGTCTTGTTATTCTGTTCACCCTGTATGTTTTCAGTGTTTTGACACCAACACGATCAAACCACAGAAAGTCATCTGCAATTTTCTCACTAGCTACTGAATTCCATTGATGGATTGTGCAGCTGATTTAACCACGTTTGAGATTTTATATGCTGTTGATATATAATGCTAATGTTACATAAATAAGACTGAAACCATGAGACAGAAATAGTCGCTCCACATATTGATTTGCCAGTTTGAACCAGTTTTCATTAGGGCGAAAACAACATCGCAACCTAGTGCAAACATTTCCAATGACCTTAATGAGTGGGATAAAAACAAACAACTAGATAAATGAGATTAACGAGCACAAGTCTTCGTTAATGTCAGTATCTTTCCACAACATATCATCACAATATTATGGTTTCCATGGTTCTGATACTCTTAAAGTGATCGTTATCAGCACAAAATGTGCTCCGAGTGCATGCCAGTTTTATTCAGGTGCACAAACAATGACATGGCCATGCAGCTAAAGGTAAAGCCCCTGCAAACACCATAGAACATTAACAGAAAAACCAAAAACCAGAAAATACTTTTATGTTGCTTTATACAGACATATGCATTGCAATGGTTTAAACTGTTGGGATTCCCTCAAAAGTAATCCTGTGAATATGACGTGAAGGATAGACTAATCCGTTTATTAAACTAGATCAAATAGATAATAGTGGGTTTGTTAAAATTCAAAACACCATAAATTACACGCACATATTATAACCTTACACTGTAATCTAACACCTCAATTTTGGTTCCTGGTCATAATGGAAAACAAAATTCTTAATTTAAAGTCACAATCATATTTGTCCTGTTTTTGCTTTGCTTTGGGTGCTTACAATGGAGGGCTCGGTCCAGATTAAATGGTATTTCGGTCTAGACATGACAAATTACATCCTGTATTGGTTAAAAACGGAACACAGTACTTTATTTTCCAATATGGGACAATGACATTAAATACAGGCAACTCCAGGGTTAGAATAAAAAAAAAAAAAAGAAGTTTAGCAAAAGCCCTTTTAGCAGAGGCCCCTGTGATTCAGCCCAGGTAACCCCACGTATTACAGTTCCCCTGAAATTTTCAGTTTGTAACTGTGTAAATGTTCAAAGCCTGCTGCTTGTCAGCAAGATCAATAGAAAACGACTTATGGCGCAATCACTAATTACAACTGACATAATAAAGAACTAACTACCATTACAAAGCAACTGAGCGTTAAAATAAGCTATCTAGCTAGCTGGTCAAAAAGTCTACCTGCTAAAGAGCATGTCTCCATGGAATAGAAAAGTATCTAGACGGCTATTAATAAATCCGTGGATGAATTAAGCAAATTAAATATAGGCATGGGTCAGAACTGGCTGCTACAGACGCAGAAGGGCATCAGTGGGCGAGTGCACAGAAGATGTCTGCATTCGGTCATTTGTTTCTGTGAGTGTGACCTTTAACTTCCCATCAGAGATGCAGTGTCCTGATCTGCTGAACCCGCCGCCATTTCCCAAGTAAACATGTCTTTGCATATCTGCTCTGCCATGTACCAATGCCTGCTTCAATAAGCATTTATTGGAAATAAATGGATGGAGAGATTAACATTATTATTTAATCCGAATTCAGTATGCATTGTTTTATGACAGATTTTAATGAGACAATAAAATAAGCAGGAACAATATGCTTGAAAAAAACCCAATAATAATAAAATAATATCCCTGAAAAAAATGTGTTGATCTGCATGGACATTACAGCAGTATGTGTTGAGGTTATTTGAATTTATTTTTAAATTCTGCATTTTATCCAGCCTAGCAGCATGACTGGTGTTCTGTTGATTAATGGAACATCTCTCGATATTCTATTTGAACATCGAGAGAGCAGTCTTCTTTCTGGGTATGAGCACCTGGGAACTTGGGAGGAATTAGGCAATCCTATGGAGAGGGAACCCGCATAACAGGGGTGAGACATGCACTGAGCATGAATGGAGCCGGGGCAGGACTTCGAACCCCAAACCCCAGGGGTGTTAAGCAGGGATGTGATTAAGTTACTAACAAAAATTTAAAATGCATCCTTTCAGTCATTTATAAGGGCCCTAGCATATGGACCTCAAAACAACTGCATGACTCATGACTTCATAGTGAGATGTGTCACCCCCCCCCCCCCCCCACCACGGAAACGTTTTCACCTGGATGATGCAAAGTCATACTGAGATGTGTCACTCCCCTTCCTTGAGGAAAACCCTTCAGGTCAGCATCTGACGTGGGAATCAGTCACACAAAACCTCACAATAAATGCTGACCAGCAGTGAGTCACCCTCAGGAGTGTAGCCTAATGCTGAACAGCAAATGTCAGTGCATTCCACATGTTTGATAGTTTATTTTAGATATGTGCGAGTTTACAACTAGTCAAATGACTCAAACGTCATTGTAGCTGCTCAATGGATCCACACAGTACCATCACATGACACTGCTTTTCCAGTTCACGCAGTGGTACTAGTAGTACTGTAGCAGTATTGTTATTATTAGTAGTAGTACTAGTAGTACTGTAGCAGTATTATTATTAGTAGTAGTAATAGTAGTATGAGTAGTAAATATATTTGAGACAATATAATTTCTTAATAGGTGCCTGTGTGCAGAGGATCATTTAAAATGACCACCCAATTGTCATAATTGCTGTATTTAAAGCCTTGTTTTTTAGTTTTGCTTTTCGAAGACCAATTAGATGTAGCACCCATACAAGTTTAACAGCTTAGTTCTAAGCCAAAATGTTTAGAAAAAGCTTTTGTTTATCATTCATTAATAACATTAGAAAAGTACACGAAAAGACCCAAAATCATCTTTTGGCATAACGTTCTTATTTTTTTGCAAAGATGAAAATGAAATTTATATTTTGAACATAAAATAAAACGATAGGGTTATTTGTAATGTTTGAAGTATATAACAAGGTTTTCCACTGGTTTCACTGACAATGACAATGTAATTAACATTGGTCTGTTACAAAAACGTTCATGTCTTCATTGACATTTTTCTTGGTTATATCTATGTCCAACTTTCCTAAGATAAGAATGGTAAATGTGTGATACGGCTACTATACTGAAACCCCTTTCTTAGTATTAACTGCAATATTGACACACAGCTTGAGGATTATTAAATCGGCTTAGGGTCAGGATTACCATTTACCAAATCCATCTGAGACTATCTTATTCAGATCACTAACACTGGTATCTTACAAAACATTAACACAGTACGGAAAACCACGAACGCATGTTGAAACATCAATCTATTGCACTAATACTATTGTATCATTAAACAACAAGATACACCGTGCGTGGATTTTATTCTCCCCCGTAAATAATTTTTATTTAAGATATTTAACAGAAATACATAAACAGCATAACATGGTTTACAGATTGGAACAGCATCAACTATCTTGCTTCCAGATCTGGGTTGGAGATACAGTTGTACCTACGTAACATTTTCACATTAATGCTATAGTGATTCTTGGTTGGTTTTAAAATACACAAATGCCTTTACGATTGTGTGCCCATCGCAAAGACAAGCTGTGAGACACATGGGTTTAAATCGTGACCGATGCTACTGAGAAGCCTAGACAGTGGGTCAGCTTGGTTTGGCAAAGCAGCAGCAAAAACAGGATCCAAAGCAAAGCAGGAGCCTGTTATTTCATCCAATCCACAGTCCTGTCGGTACGCAGTGAACTGGCGTATTGGTGGATCATGCTGGGGTGTCATGGAACCAACCGGGTGCACTAGTCCTCTCCTCCACAGAGCACCAGAAGCGCTTTACGGTAGTCTCCTGAAGTGTCACCCTACAGGAGAAAGGAAGTGCAGACTTGGTTCAATGGGGATCGCAATGGAATCCACATTGCTTTAACATAGAATTTTACCAAGAAACAGGATGACTGTCTGAAGGTATAGACTACGGAACATCACAGACTGTATATTAAGAAATGTTGTCAATGGAAGTAACTACATTAAAACTGGTTTTACTATGGTCTATAATAATCATACTTTCCCATAATAATGAGTTATGCCATTAACAAAACTGAACTATCTAAAGTGCGAGACTGTCCTAGACACAGCAAAGAAATAAACGTCTTTAAATTAGAAACAGCTATTTATATGCGGTGTGAATGCACAGACAAAAATGAAACGACCAACTCATAAATAACAAACAGAAACCGAATTTCCCCTCAAGTAGAAAGGCAACCTGTTCTGGTGTAAACCTGCCATTTATTTTGGGTGGGGGTGGGTGGTCATTAAAATGATAGCTGATTGAAAAAAGAGCCATGATTTATTCTTGATATTCAAAGGCATTTCTCGAGCACAAACCAGTAAAGACCTGTTAAAAAGTACATCCTGCCATAGAGACCATCTACCAATCAAATGCTGCCTTCAAAGAGGAAGTCATGCATGCAGGGGGGAATTCCTAAACAGCTGAACCAAAGTAGTTCACTGCAAAAACCTTTGGTACCTCACCACCCCCCTCTTCCACCCAAAGATAATGTTCAACTTTTATATCAATACAATTTGGACACTAATGCCAAATCAGTTTGTGTTTCACATGAAAAGCTACAATGAAGTTACAAATTTGGAGAAACTTCCCTGCATGGCAATATTCACTTCTCAGTATGTGAAGAACTTCTTTTCTGTTTGCCAGTTTGATTGTGTATAATGAGCAGGAAATATGCTATAGATTGTTTTTTTTATCACAGTTAGCAGGATGTATTAACTAAAACAACTGCATTATTTACCAATGGATGCAAAAAGGAAAACATACGCAGGTAAAATAACATGCTAAAATAACACATTTCTAGTGATACTTAAAAGTTGATTTTTACAGTCAATAAAAAAGGTGATATTTAAATATAAATTAATGGCAGGCACTATTGATCAACCTCACATCAATTGCTCTGTACTGAAAATGAAATGGAAACAAATATAATTAACATAGTGACAGAACCTGAATGAAGTCATGGAGAGAGACATCATGGGTGTCTTTAAACTCCTTCCGAATGTTGAAGAGGTCAACTTCACTGCGAGACACCATGATTCTGATAAGTGCCCGGTCATCTGTGCCAAGGCCCTGAACGGCAGGCAGGAACAGCCATTAGCACACAGGCTAAATGCCCGTTACACTCACGCAGTATCTGGGGTTATTTAAGGAAGGGTCCACAGGAATGTAAATCAGGCCTAAAGCCTAAACAATCTGTAAAGCTAGAGTCAACAATTATTTTTTTTTCTTTCTAATTAATTGTCATTGTTGACCTTCCACAGCACAGAACAACAAAATGCATCCTCAGCATTTAACCCATATGTGACATATCAATGGGCTGTTATTGCTCTGCACCTGGGATGCAGTGTGTGGGGGGGGGGGATAGTATCTTGCTCAGGGTACCTCAGTGGTTGGGGATTCAAACCAACAACCTATGCACACTTCCCTAACCATTAGGTCAAATTACTGTCAACCTTAATGGCTACTATTGGGTCATCCTACTCCATTTTTATTAATATCACATCCTTCATAATTTGTCTTTAAGTTGCTTGATTTTTGCTGATGCAGCTACCAAAGACTATTTAAATAAATATGTAGATTCAGGTCATGCAGCTACACGAAGGTCGTACCTTCATTGCTTTATATAAGCGGTCTGCCAAGTAAGACGTCTGGTTCTTTACACTCCGCACTGTAAAAAAGGAAAAAAATGAGGTCATCATACACTCCTGCACTGTTGGGTTACAATTGTTTAGCTTCCCAATTATGCCAATTTGAATTGTTTTTACCTAATATACTCAAGAAGCCTTACCAATGGCATACATGGCATTTTTGACATCTCCAGACATCTCTTTTTTGATGATCTGTTCAATATCCTTGTTGGTGCATCTGACAAACTCTTGAAACACTGTGAACAAAGTTGTGCAGCATGCACCGTGTTAATGTTTCACTTCACAGAACGTTGCATCCTTCTGCCTACAGAAAGTGGTTTGCACACTGGGCGATGCCTCACCTCTCCGCAGGTGAGGGAAACTCCTGGTGCACAGCACGCTCATGAAGCGGGTTTCCATGGCACTGGAGTCATCGTTGCATGCATCACCAAGTTCCTGTGCAACACATTTTCACAGGTCGAATTATTTTCCACCCTCAATTTCCATGATGAGAAAAAGCTCCCAGAAGTGGAACATGTGTTGACCAGCCCAGGTTTATGTGGCAATACTTACCTAAAATTTCTTATAATTAATCCTAAAGTTATATACAAAGAATTAAAGATACTTGCTAGATTGTTCCTAGTAAGATTTATTCATCCAAAAAAAATTTTTTTTGCAATTCTGCAAACGACATGCTATGTCTGATTTTCTGCCTTAAACTTAACATCATATGCAGTATAATCTCGATCAATCAATCGATCCATCCATCCATCCATTTTCTGTAACCACTTATGCTACTCAGGGTTGCTGGGTATCTGGAGACTATCCCGGAGGCTACAAGGCAGGGAACAAACCAAGATGTATTCACTCACAAAGGCACACCTATGGGAGATTTGGTATCTCCGTTTTTGCTTAAGTGCTAATTTTCCATCTCCCATAAAGCTTAGGTCCATACCTCACCTTCTAACAAAGGTAAAAAAAATTATACATTTTAATATAGGTTTGTATCTCTTTAATGTAAACATATTTGATAGCAACAATTATGTTTTTCAAGTAGTTTACACCAAACCTGACTCGTTAAAGCTAACAGGAAGGTTACAAGTGCAGCTTACAAAACAAAGGTGCATAACATGTCTACCCTTGATGTGGTTCTGGAGGTAATAGTGGTGATAGTTTGGGTGTACCTAATAAAATGGCCAGTGAGGCTATGCAGTAGACACTATGTAAAATGCAGCATTCGCATTCTGCAGCGGATGTAATGGATAAGGCTAAGAGGAGCAAGAGGAGGTGTTGTGGTTAAACATGCGATTCTGCTGTGACAAAATGCGCCATTCTCACGGCTAATCCATCACTGAGCATTTTTCAGACTGCATGTAACGCATGAACAATGAAATACCAGTTAACAGGAAATCTGATCGGGAAGGAGAATGCCTTAATTTTTGCTTAGTTTTGGGTGAGATTTTGACTTCAGTTTATTTGAGGATTGTCCAAAAAGAGCAAAATTGAAGTTTTAGGCTGGATTTGGGTCAGGTCAAGGGCATAGATCTGGGTATGGAGAGTAGAGACATGTCCAGACCAATATTGTGGGAGTATTGTGTGTCCTACTGAAATTGCCCCACCTACACCCTTGGTCCAAGGTGGTCCACTAAGAAAAACATCAGGTTTATGGTGGGAATTCGTTAAATTCGCCAACATATATAAATACACCATTTCATGATTCTTGATGGTGAAAGGACAAGTTAACTGACCTGAGCGTCTTCCATTGCCCTGCCAGTGTCTGCTGGGCTTTCCTCTCTAGCTCCCTAGAGAACAGGACAAACATGCGGTGACTTGAAGTTTGAGATGAACACCAAGAATGTTCTAACCTCTGCTGGTGCTATGGCATCAGAACGTTAGCTTCTCCGCATGCCAAGGGTCCTGCCCCGCTTTGCTTGCCAAGGAAAATACCTGCACCATAGAGACAAGGATCCGACAGAAGTGTCCAGAGGTTTCTGAAGTGATGGCAGCTTCCAAGCTTTTCTTGTGTGCTGCAAGAAACGAGAGAAATGGTTTGGAGAACGGACGCAGTACATGGACCGTGTGGACTGGGTGCCAGTCAAAGAACGGAAGGAGGAGAAATGTCTCCCTCTAATGGAAAGCTGAAGTATCACTACAGTACGCTAGAACTGATACAGCATTGTGACATCATCCATCTTCAAACTACTTATCAGGGATGTCAGGCACTGTACTGTGCAGATGGGAACAGGGCTGGGCACTTGTAACCTAGGCGGTTTGAAGGGCAGGAGCGAAAAAATAAAGGGGGCATCTATTGCAAAAGATAAATATCCTTTGTATTTTTGGACCTCTGCTTGATTTCTAAATCGAGTGCTAAACAATGTACCTGTTTAGGCATCGAGACTAAAATATGTGATGCATGTGAACATTTTCCCCTTCCAACACAGTACAGCATTTGACTCTGTTTGCAGCGCTAGTCACTCTGTCCCCATTTACCTTCTTCAAAGGAGGCACATATGGCTTTAATCTCTTCGTTGCTCCTGGTGACAAGGATCTCAATTAAAGCATGTTCATCTGTACCGGCACCCTAATGAACAGACGATGGTTAATAAGAGCCAAACGGAATACAGGAGAGAAACTACTTTGCATCACTGTGTCATGTTTGAAAATAAATTTTAAATGACAAGTGACATATTGCTATATAAAGACAACATGCAATGACATAAAAGCAAATGGGTTTAATGCTTGCTCCCATGTAGAGAGAAATGTACGAAAATGTGAAATTCCCTGCAACTGAGGGAAAAAAACACCTACAGAGATGCAAGGTGCCCTGTTTGTGTTCCCCATAGCACAGTAATGCTGGGCTGCAGCCATCCATCCTGATACTTAATTTAACTGCTCAACACAACACTTTATTTCTTGGGAGAAACCTTGGGTATCTCACTTTTAATTCAATAATTTTTTTTTTTTTAAACGAATCAAATTTAAATGAACTTAATTTGATTAAATACACTGGTCAACAAAGATTTTGTCACAGAATAACTAAGGTGTGTATTATAAGCGTTTTATTATGTGAATTTCAGAAACACACTCAAAATTTTGCCGTCATCCATAGTTTTTGAGTGAAATCTTTTTTAGGCCATATTGATAGTAAATAATTCCTTATTGAGGATGCATGGGTATATCCATCCATCCATTATCTATACCGCTTTATCCATCTGGGTCGCGGGGAAGCTGGAGCCAGTCCCAGCGTATGGGTATACTAAAGCTTAAATTAGGAAAAATGATTTTATGCTGACTTTACAGAAGGGCACAAAGTACTGCAGGATTCTGCTCTCTCTGATATGGAAACAGAATATCCAGCCGAGTGGATTCCCAGTATGCTGGCTGACTTCTGCTGGACCCCTGAGAGGAATGTTCCTTAGGGCAGGTACAGCAGAAAATCATACACCTCTGCCTTTAAGGTGAGTCACCTCCACCATGCACATATGCTGTAAATATATGTATAACATAAGGATTCACTGTGTGTCTCAAATTCCTTGCAAGATAGGTACGTTCTGATTAGATACAGTGGAAACCGTTTATAGCGGTCATGTCTGTCTGGGCGAAATTGATCAGTATAAGCGGATGATCATTATAACTGATTTTTTTTCTTTTTCTTTACGTCTCAGGCAGATCACCATCTAACTGACATTTGTATTCATCACATGCATCTATGGTAATGTCGCTATTTACTGAATTTTATTGATTCTTTCACTTGAGAGAAAATGACTTTCTTTTTCCCGCCATGTTTTCTGTGCGCGCAGCATTAGCCTCAGGTAGCCAGAAGCAGACGGATTACCACAAGGCAAAGTAAAAAAAGGAATTACTGTAATTTAATTTTTTTCCATATGTTGTTATGTATAAAAAGACCCAAAATAAACACTGAAAGCGGAATACTTGATTACCTTAAGCACATTATTAAAATATTATTTGTACAGGAATGATTCTGTTCTAAGCTTTTTGATCAATCTATAAGCAGTTGATCAATATAACCAGGATCACTTTAAGCAGTTTCCACTGTATTTGAATTCATTGCAAAAAAATCTCTTATTTTTATTTGTGTAACAAAAAGAAAGTAAAATTTGTTGACCAGTGATATCAATGGATCACACTGGAATTAACAGACGTTAGACTTTCTGACATAAATAAATGCTGGAGATGAGCAGAGCAAAGTCTAATTTTCATTTCTTCAACTAAAGCTTTCAGACATCCTGAGATACCGGATCCCAGGAAATCCATACCTGTTTTAGGCATTACCAGGGATGGCCAGTATTTATGAGACATGCATTTAAAATACCTATTTCAAATACAACATAGAATGTTGTAATTTATATTTGATAGGGTTGATGAAAATGGCTTCATATTCCATACCAAAACATTTTTTACTGTTTTGCATTTTAAAAATACTTTCTGTGATACATCTATGTGATGATGCATGCATCGTTAAAAAGGCAAAACAATGCATGCAGCTTTTGAATGGTGCCTACTCAGACCAGGAAGTTGCTTAAATCTAGCAGGCAAGTTTTTCAATTCAGTTGAAAAACCGCTGCTCTTCATAACACGAGGATCATGTACAATATACGCGCAAACTGAAAACCAAACCTTTTTATCGTAATAACGTCTAAACTAACACAATTCGAGCTCCAGTCAAACGTCTATTTTCCTTTGCAGCATTGATCAACAGGCCCCATTTTGGATATCTAAATGCCAGAGTGTTTGTTTAAAGGCATAAGCGGTTAAAGTGACCCCTGCAATGTGAGCTACAGGACACACACACACACACACACACACACACACACACACACACACACACACACACACACACAATCACATACTTACTCTCTCACCCACATCCACACTCACACATAACTTTGCCTGTTTCTTGGTAGAACTTTTGACCTGTTTTGGGATACCTGATCTGTAGATTCTCTATTTAGCCGTCTGGGAGTTTCAATAAATCTTTTTACTAGAGTGTGAATGTGTAACCCACATTCTGCAGCTCTCAAAAGGTTCATTTGGGTTTGTACTTATTGACAAGTTCAGTTGCTGCTGTCTGACTCTACTTCTGGGTACATTTAAAATCAAACCAAATTGATCATTTAAAAACTGCTAAGTGCTAAAATGTTTGTTTTCAACTTTCAATAGGAGCCCAAGGGCTGGAACCTAAGTAACTGATTACAGAATCATTGTACCCTAATAGAAGTTTAGTAGTATAATGTATTTGCAGACCATTGTATGAATGACTATCTGACCCAAAAATTGTTTGTCAAATTTGTATGATTTTTTTTGATTAGGCTACTTAGAAACTAGTTGTTGTGGTTAAAGGTGCTATCAGTTGCTGATGCAAAGTAGGCTCCTCATTGCAAAACACTGAGTAAATAGATGATTGTACAATTATGAGTCATCAACAAACTGTCAGTTGAACATTAAACTGTCGGTAACTTTAAAACTAACCTTCATCTGGCTGATAACGGGAGTATGTTAGGATCTGGGATGTAACAGGCAGGTAAAAATACTTGATCTGTCGACTGCGTGTCAGATTTATGGCATGTCTCACTAGGCAATGAAAAGCTGTTGCTCTCAAACACTGCCCACTTAATCAACTGAGTCAGTGTACTGGTGAAGGGATGGATCAAATAGGCCGACAGACAGACAGTTTGCAAAGTGATTTCATGCTCCCTTGGTAAAGTATTTTTAGTATTTAAAAAGTAGTTTATTTTGATACACTTAAAATTAGGGTATTTGGTACCGTATTTTAAAATACATTTTCAGGTATCGCTGTGCATCCCTGGGCATAACTAAACCCTGTGGAATTTCCAAAGACAACTTGTCATGAGAAAAATAATTAAAAAATAATAGACATAAGATAACTTCTCGTTTCTGTAAAATAGAACAGGAAAACTAAATCAAACATATCATCACAATTTCCTTCCTTTTGCCCTTTCCTGTAAGGCAGCCCACTGCTCTTGGGACAGTAATGCATTGACTTTTCTTTGGAATTGAAAGCCACAGATGCAACTGTGTAGTTAGTGAAAAGATAAAAATAAAAATTAAAACTCTCACCTCCATTGCCTTTTTCATCATTTTTGCATCAAACTCTGCTGGAGTCATCATCAAGCCCAGAATCAACCGGCACAAGTTCTTTGAGAGCTCCGATTTAAGGTCAGCCATGAGGTCCTGAGGAAGGTCACAGAGACGACATCATTAGCACTGCGTTCAGGGATCACTGCGTTCAGGGATCTCCAGCAGGACACAACACCCGTTTTTGTTTAATATGTCATGTTCCTCACCCTCCCAAAGCTAGATTTGAAGACTTTCCTGATTTCTTGTCTCTGTGCATTACTTCTGTGGGTTATAATATCAATTATAGTATCTTCATCAGTACCTTGAAGAATGGAGAAAAAATGTAAGTCATCTGGACACATTCAACGTAATTAAAGGTTTATAGAAAACAATTGTGTTCTACCTACCAAAGCCCTTCATGGCCTTCCTCAAAGCTTTGGCATCACTTCCGGGATTAAAGCCAGAAGAAGCATATATCGTTCCTCGTAGCTGTAACAGAGAGGCAGCAGCATCCAATCAGAGGCAAGCAGGCATCCCTTATAAATGTATGTTCACTTCCATTTAAATCCATAAAGCATGTTAAATGAGGGATTTAGGAAAGGAAAAAAATGAGGAAACATATGTCCAAAGAAACTGCACTAAATACAGTACTGTGCTGAACGATGTGCCAATATAGTGATTTAGAAAATTTGGAAATAAGGACATACGGTGATTCACTGTTTCAAGAACAACACAGGTGCAGCACAACCAGGAGTGTTAGTTTGCAGAGAAGATTTTATCACTGCATGTCTGGAAATTGCAAAAGCTTCGAATACAGCACAAATCATAAGGGGCAGTTATGCACACACGTATTTGCCAACTGACTGCAAAACTCTGGGCACAGCGTGGGAAAACTGCAGGAAGGTTAAGGGGTTAGGGGTCAGCCAAGCGGGAATTCTGTTCCTACGCTGGGAGCAGAGAGTCAAACCTGCACTTTGGTCATGGCGCTAACTTCCCACATCTTGTAGGCTATCTGCGCTGCTTCGGGGAAAAATTCTCCAGCTAGGCTGAAACACCAATGACAGTCAGCAGTCGGTGAAGGGATTCGTGCTCTATGCCGGGATAATTTCACAGCACATCCTGGGCTTTTCTTTGAGTTGTACAGACAGGTAACTGCTTAAGAGGTTATGACTGGGAGAAAATTCTGCGTATTCATTCAAAGCGGTTTAATTCAAAGAGATGTAATGCATGAAAAAACTGCTGGAAAACCACAATGTGACAGACATTGTATAAAAGCCAAAACCCCCCCCTAAGAGTAAATAATGGCAATAGGATTGAGAATGCAGAGCCACCCCCCGCTTTCTGCTCTCTTACTCATCATCGCCACCACAGAGGCTAAGCAAAGTCCTCTTGTAGTCCCCCGATGTGTCATCCTGTAGAGGAGAGTGAGATGTAACTTAACGAGAATGAAATGTAATGGAAAAACCTTTGGAGGGAAATTGGATGAAGTTTAAATTCTTCCTTTGCAGCTAAACGTAGGTGTTGCATACGGGTTCACTTCCTAATAGCAGCACGTTGATTTTCAACAGCCTGTTTTGCCATAACAGAAACACAGAGGGATATCGTGCGCTAATGGCCCATGTCATTGTTCAGTGGTGACTAAATTGTCCCTCACCTTTATCATGTTGTACAGGGACTTCTCATACTGGAGACGAAAGCATTCCCGGATATCCAGCATATCCATCTCAGAGCGTGAGATCATGATCCGGATCAAAGTGTTGTCCGCTGTTCCCAAACCCTGAAGAGGCCAAGAGGCACATAAACACAGTTAAGACATTAATATTAATGTGGCAGACACACACACACACACACACACATATATACAGTAAAACCAGTCTAAATCGACACTCGCGGGACCAGCTTAAAAGTGACGACTTAGAGAATTGACGAGATACACCTAAGTCGACACTTCGGCGACTTATGTCTATCTCGCCGTTTTGCAGGCTAGTAAATATAACACCATACCTCTACTACACCGCACTATACACACGAGACTTAAGACCAGGGAGCGACTAGTGCGATAGGTGGGGATTCCCCGTCTCTACATTGCCGTGGTGACAAGCAGGCGGCAGGAATGCAGCGATTGGGGTGTCGACTTACAGGTAGGAAAATCCATTCATTTGTGTTCTTCGGGACCAGGATTTAGGTGACGACTAAGGGAATTTGACGACTTACAAGCGGCGACTTACACAAGGAATTTTAAAGGAAACATCATTAGGAAAAATCAGGACTTTTGTTTGAGCGTCGACTTGTGCACATTGACGAGTTACAAGCCGGCAACTTAGACCAGTTACTGTGCGCATATATATATATATATATATATATATATATATATAGACATTGAAGACGGGGCCTTGGATTGATGCACTGTAGGGGATTTCCTTACCCTGCTGCTTTTCTGTGTGTGTGTGCGTGTGTGTGTGTGTGTGTGTGTGTGTGTGTGTGTAAATACCACGCAAGTAAGTACTGTGCATATACCTCATGTCACAGACCTGGCAAAGATCCAATAGGGTGCAAGTATCCCTTGACTTTCCCATTAGGATCGATACTGTTCAGGTTTTCTTTGTCTACAGCCTTAGTCTGCATCTTCAAAACGCCAGTATTACACATGCTGCCGTTTACAAGGTGATTTACCTTCATTGCCATGTAGAGACGCTTGGCAAAGAACATGGGCACGCTCCTAATGCACTGCACTGAAAATAAACACAATTCACACTGGAGTCATCAACCCCTCAGTGGTTTTCTGTTACGCAGATAAAATGGTCATTGTAGCAGATACATGAGAGTCTGTCAGATGAAGGCGACTCTCACCCACAGCCAGCATGAGTCTCTCAAAGTCCCCTGACAGCTCACTCTTGATGCTGTCTTCTATGGATTTCTCTGCTATCTTCTGATATTCGTCAAACACTATGAAAAGGTGAAAACAAATACGCAATCAGAATGCGAGAACCACTACCGCAAAATGCATGTGGAAAAAATGCATCTACTGCAGGTCCAAGTGTGATAGGCGCCGCAGACTTACCCAGCTGAAGGTGGGCGATGCTGCGGTTCCCTAATATCATAATGAATGTGGCCTCATCAGTGCCCCACTTGGCCTCCCCAGCGGCATACAGCTCCTACGGTGAGGGTGTGGGGGTTACAGGCAGGCCAGAAATGACACACCAGGACCTTTGCATGACACAGCTGTCAGGTTCTATGTACATTTCCGACGGCTTATAAAAATGTTCAACAGCATGTGCTGCAGTCTTTCTGTCGCACAACATGACCGTTGTAACATTCTCCTGTTGCTGTCAATAAAACATCAAAGGTCCCCAGCCATTTGCCAGGCTGCCACAGTGAGTAAGAAATTCTAATGACTTGCCTGGTTGAATAACAATAAAATAAAATCAAATAAAAATCCAGTGATGTCAGTAGAATGCTCACCTGGGCATCCTCCTCAACAAGATCTGCATTCACTACTGTGTTCTCTTCTCTGGTTCCCTAGAAGAAAAATGCAAAAATAATATATTAGCCTAGAATGAGCAATTTCCGAATTATTAAACAAAAAAAATAGTCAACAAGGAACAGTGAAATGACGTCAAAATGATTTCCGCTGTTTGTTGCTGGATCTTCGGAATGCGACGTATTTCAGACTTACCTGAAGTAAAACCACCAGCATCTTCTTAAAGTGTCCCGACGTGTCAGCTATAACGTCCGCCTCCACGTCTCTACCGTACGCTATAGAGGATAAACAAGTTACACGCATGCAAATCATCAAATAAATGCAGTATCCCGCTGTTCATCTTGAAGCCTTCTTCCATAGACCTCTTCCTTAATCCCACTTTACTGGGATAACAGTTACAGAAGATGGATGGATGGAAATTTAAGGTTCAAGGTACTTTACTGTCATTGACAGCTGTGTACACGTACCTAGTGAGATGAGGTAACATTGACCACGATGCAACATACACCAACACATAACAAAAAACAATGTGCACAAGGACAAAATCAACACTAAGTGCAACAATAAACAATAATTTAACCCTTGTCTTACCTTCTTTGTATGCATCTCGCAAAGCAAGGATCTGCTCATTGTTCCTGGAGGCCAGGACTTCAATCAGGCACTTCTCATTGGTCCCTAGACCCTTGAAAGAGGAAGTTTAAATGCTAGACAGCAATCATGAACTTCAATAGATTTAATCACTTGTTAAGAAATTTTTGGTAAAAAATGTGATAAGTACAGTCATTCCTGGAATATCTTACTTTGATTGCATCTTTAATTTCTTTGGCATCATGAAAAGCTGGAGCCCTCATCAATGAGACGATGAGACGCTCAAACTTGCCCGTCAGTTCATACTTAAGATCACCAATCAGATCCTAGAAGAAAAGCCCAGATCATTATAATGAATGGTGTCTGTTTTGTAAATGATGCAGAAATGCATTGTCATGAATCTGAAGTGAGCCGACAGGGAAAATGGTGTCGCCCCGCAAAGGCCAGTCAGAAAAAACATACAGTACTGTATGTATATATACATGTAATTTATAAGTTGTGGGCAGAGCCGCAATGTCAGCACGGCCGTGCCTGCGGGTGTTACTCAGTCCAGTGTGTGTCGTATGTTGGATTGAGTAGGGCCATATTAGTCTGTGTCATGTGACAGAATGTTTTAAATGTGTGTTGCGGCCATTGAACATATGGCTTCTGTAATGTAATGTGGTGGAACAGAACTGACCCAGAACTATTACTCATTCATATAATGGTCCATAAAAGTCATCCATACTCACATGGCACCTATTTGGGGGGGGGGTGCAGAGGGAAATTTAGCATGGCACTGTTGAACATTAATTTTTTTTTGCATTAAACATGCTACTTTATTTATTACCGGTTGGTATGCTGTGCTCCTGGGGGGTGGAGATTTTTCTATGAATATTGTTCATAGAATATTGCTTTAATTATTTATTTTTTGTATTTTGGTGTCGTTCATTTTTTTGTAAATAGAGGCCCAATGGTACATATTATAACCAAGCGTTTTTTTCCCTGCATTTTTCATCTTCGCCTATTTCATCAACTTGTTTCACTAATTCTAAGTAGCTGGCGTGTGCTGCATCATGGGCTTTGCTCAGGGAAAGAATTAAAGATCTGAGTTAAACACATTTCGATGAAAACCAGCATTCTTAAGCCCTGTTTGTGGTGATCTAACCACTGCTAATGTCTTTGAATAACTCTGCATAAACACTTTTATTGAAAGGTTGTTTAACTTTAGGATAAAGATCAATAATTACAGACTGAAATGTATTACAGCTTATATGATGAAAAGGTAAAGATTATGAAGAGATATAAAAATGTGTGGTAATGCCAGAGACAATAAGAAGCGGGTTGTTCCTACCTGGCCATACAAAGATTTGTAGGCTGCAGCGATTTCCTGCCGCTGGCCGTTACTTCTAGCAGTGATTACATCCAAAATGGCCTCCTTGTCACTGCCTGCGGAGATACAGACACAGGAGCAATGAGGCGGCTCATGGCGTTATGTAGCTTGCAGCTTGCCCTAACTATAGTAAATGGTTTGTGGATTCCTGTTAAGGAGCACACAGATGTCACAAACTCATCATTAATATGAAGCGCTTAAAAGTGGAGATGACTCATCGTAACTCCAACTGAAGATTTAAACATAATTATGCACAACTTTCCAAATGTACATTGCATTGATTGCAGACACTAAGGTTTAGATAAACTATTATATACAGAGAATTCATAATATTTGTCGCATATGCCAGTTGAGCAAATTCATGAGCCTCCACAGATTTGTTTCATGCGGAGACACCCCCGTACGTCATGTGAGCAATGAGTAACTCGATCTGACACACAGCGTAGCAAACATAAACGGTGTATATTTGCACATGGTAGATATACATTGCAGATCAGGAAGGCTGCCGAATGACTCACCAATGCCTTTCATGGCATTGTACAGTGTCTCTGCATCAGCCCTGGCATCAAAACCTGCAAAGTCCGTCACAGTGCCTCGAAATTGCTGCAGGAACAGAAATGCGACCATAAACCTTCATTGACAGGAGTCTGATCTGGAGAACAATGCAGCCCCATACTTAAAAGCCTTAGAATGAATGGGTGAGAGCTTAAGTATCTGTGCACAGACACCCTTGATCCATACAATCCATACATACTTATTAAGCAGTCCCTTCCACCAAACCAAGTACATCATCTCTATCCAAGTCAAAGTTCCCGCATCACTTAATTCATAAGGCATCTATCCATCTGCTACACACATATCCTGGTTAGGGTTACAGGGAACTGTAATCTCATCACAGGCAGAACAGGGCGGCCTGGACGGGACGCTTATCCATAGCAGGGCACATATTCAAAAACTGAGCAATTTATGGAAGGCAGTGAGCCTAACTGCGAGACTTTGGACTGCAGGAGGTAACGGGAAAACCCAACAGAAACCCGTGCAACTTCACACACAGAGCAGAGACGGGATTCGAACCCTAATTCCCAGCAGTGGGAGGCAACAGCACTAGCCACTGAACAACTATGCCACCCCCGTCGTTAAACTATATTTGTTCGATTCATTTTATATAAAATTCAACACTAGCTGCACTGCATTTAGGATAGTTTCTTACGCTTGATCATATTTCAGTTTCAGTCAGTTGCCTGACTGTCTTATTTGGCAAATAGAGTCGCAGTAGCAGCTGCTCACACAGACCGCATTTATACTAAATGGCCGCAACAGTGATTAGTCTGAGCGTTGCAAAGGAATAATCAAGGCCTGTATCCCAGTTTAGCGTTCTGGGTTAAACTACAGTCTGCGGAGATGAACGTGCGGCCATCCACAGGGCAACGGGACACTAAAGGTCTCTCGATTCTGTCCACAAGGCCATGAGGATGGGTGACCGCCAGGCAGCTGACAACTAATTCTCCATCCTGGCTTGTGTAATCAGCAGTGTGTGGGAGGGGGGGTGTTGTGTTACACATGCACCCCCTCCAACACCTGCAGGGTCCATTTTCACCCTTTAAAAGCACAGCCCCTTTCATAATGACCATCACATAGATTGGCTTCGGCACGGCAGCTTAAGGCCTCTGCTTTCTTTTGGGCCTCAACACCATCCATCATATACTGACATCACTCTGACTGTTTCTGAGCTACAGTATTTCAGTCACCATGGCTGCCCTGGCTCCCTGTCGCTCCCTATGGTGACGATCGCTCCCTGCGCCGGCTGTTCAGTCAGACAGCCGGATTGCGGCCGCAGTTACCGCTGCACATGCTCAGAATAGCCCAGAGGCAATAGCAGAAGAGTGCTGTCTCTAACCAGAGTCATTTATAAACCAAAATCAGGTTACGAACACAAGAACTGTGACAGAGAAAAACTGCCACAATTTCCAGCTTTATAAAAGCCACAAAGAATATTTACCGAACGCGCCATCAATATGCAATGCTACCTAGAGACCAGCAAGCTCATTTCCGAGGATCTCTCTATTTTTACACATTATGACAACAACACTCATTAGAACACACTGCGCATGTTTTCGACTGACATTAAACAAGCTGGACGTGTCTCCCATCTCTGACTAAAACAGTTTACTATCAGAAATAATGAAGCGGTCTAGGTTCAACGAATCATGAAGGATTATGGCCAATTGCTGTAGAAGTAATGGAGAGATACTTGCAATTAACAGGTGCAAAATATAAATTCACTTACCTTAACCATGGCTGCTGTTCTATGAGTCAAAGAGTCAAAAGTGCAAAATGAAATGTCTGCGGGAGATATAACAGTTTAACAAAATATACCGTATGTACTAAAAAAAATACAGTATATAGGACATGAGAGTCATTTTTTGTCTTACACATATTAAAATATGTGAAATAAAAATGATGGTGCATCTTTTCCTTTCAAAAGATGATGAATCAAACAAGCATAAACTCAACAACAACAAAAAATAACAGTAACTGAACTGTGAGACATGTTTTCCATGAATTTACCACTCCTGCAGTTTGTAATTCCAGTTTATTTTTTTCTAAGGTGACAAGAAATTGGAGTAAGCAGCAGTTTCTACTGGGCTGGAAACGCTACTGGTGACTGCTGTTTGCAGCAGACGTGGCACTTACGTTTGCACACGACATACATCACCAGTTATGAGCAGCTACACACGACAGAAGTACAAGCAACATTCGGTACGCAAACCTAAACCTAAGCTCAGAAAATTCCTCATCTGGCAGCCAGTGTGCAGGAAATAGTTTCATTTTCTTTATGCATGTCGTTGTAAAGCTGCCTCTTTTGAGATTAATCAGATATCGACCAGAGTGTGGTATCCATCACATCACTGAGCATTAAAACAATAATTATCCAACTCGTAATTTGCATTTTGCACTTTCCACAGAATGAATTAACTGTTGTAAACAATAAACAAAACATATTAATACTGAAAAAGTAAGTCTTGTTTGTTAACTCTAAAAAAAAAAAAAACAATATAAAACAAATAATGTGGACTGTGCTTTCTGTGT